TTGGTGACCACCAAGAGTTGGCATTTTTTTATTCTTTTATATCGTACTAAATTGACTTTGGTCGTGTATATGACTAGTATTCAATCTTTGTAAATAGAATATACTCCATTATGTGAAGGCAGAATTATATGAAATGTTAATAAAACATGATAAAACTTCATATTAATCTTTCAAAATATCTTTTCATATATAAATTTAAAATTTTATACATCAGTATGCATTTGCATTCTCAGTATAAAAACTAAATATTAACAAAATATAACATAATGACGGCATAAATTCCATTCATTATTTTACTTACAAATGGTCTGGTCAGTGAATGAAAGTAAGTTTTAAATGTGTAAGTAGGCAAATCCATTTACTGTATTTGAAAAACATCCTAAAACACACAGACACGTGTGTGTGTGTATATATATATATATATATATATATATATATATATATATATATATATATATATTTTTTTTTTGCCATTACCATTATTTGTTATTTGTTTAAAGAACAATTGATAGTAGGCATACACACCCTTCTCATACATCCATACATATATATATACTGTACAAGCACAGAAGCAATCGTCCCTCACTAATTAAGTGCCATTATGAGTAACTTCAACTGAATGAGTAAATTTTTCATGGCTACTAAATAATTTTACATGATAATAAATTATAAATAATGATTGCATAGTGCTACACAGAACAAATACCGTAGTTTGTCATAAGCAAACTGATTTGTATCCTATGATAATGTGATAATTGGAAATTAATAGTAGGCGAAGAGATAATGCCAAAGCTTCCAAGTATAAGTTAAATTATGCTTTCCATTCTGGGCTTTGTGCAATATGAAGGAGTGCACAAACATACCAATTCATGTACAGTATCTACCCTGTCTAAACAGTAAGTGACCTGAAACTAAAGCAGCCCATTGCTCCATTTGCACTTATATTGCCTTTTTTGTTTGAGGTAAAAAACAAACAAACAAATAAATAAAAAAGGCTGATCTTTGAGTTAGAGGCGCCATACACACACACACACACACACACACACAAACCAGTTTATCACATCTCTGACACATACAGTTCTGTAAATTTCTCTTCCATCCAGATCATGCAATAAAATAATCGTACTGTGAGTGTGTGTGTATCCTTCATAATCACCTTTAAATAATAATAATAATAATAACAGTAATAAACAAATTCATGCTGGTGGGTCTTGGGAAAGTGAAAAAAAATATGTACGGCATGTGAGGGACGACAGAACCTGTGTGCGTGAGTGTGTACATTACATGTGTATGTGTTTTCCGTGAAATCTTCTGTTAAAAAGCAAAATTTCTAACCAAAATTATGACCAACAGCATGGAACTTTCAAGTTAAGGATACTGACTCCACTGGGTTTGTTTATGACTAAGTAATATCTTTCATTTACAATGTTGATGTAGCTACTACAGGAACCAACTCTATGCCCATACAAGCTGAACATGCTCTTTAAAACATACAGTAGATCATAATTCATGAGAGATTATCTTCCAAATTTCTAAATCTGATTACAAGTTTATATGGTAGCCATACAGCATGAATTAAGGCCAAATGATGCTCAGAGCAAGTTCTCTTGCAATTCTCTTGGGGAGTGCACAGGAGACTCAGCATGGAAATTTTGTGGGTGAAAGAACCTCAGTGTCCTCTTAATGGAAATATTTTGGAATGCATAATGATGATATATGACATGCTAATAGGAGTATCTTTATAAACTCGCACTCTTTATTGTCATGAGGTGCAGACAAAATATTCTTTAATGTAATTATACTTCTTTGGCCTCATCAATTCTGCAGTTGGAGGCAAAACATTAACAGAAGACAGTGAAGGTGGGAGTGGGTGGGATGGTTTCCTTCAGTTGGTGAATGAGGGGCAGAGCCCATGTTGGAGTGCCAAAGGCGCTGCTTTCTAGGCTGAATAGAGTATACATTTCCTGGCTCAAATTTTATATTACAGTACTGAAAAGATATTGATTTGAAGAATGTCCAAGATTGAGAAGAACGCTCAATTTGGAAGGTAAATTACAATATTGCTGGTTGCCAGCTTAATTTTGATAAAGCTGCCTCAAGTTTCTGAAACAAAAATAATTCAATGGGATTAACGAATATCACCTTTCTTTCAAATTCTATTTAGAATTGGACTTGGAATAATTGTCAAATTAGGATTTCAGTTAGTTACTCAAGTACATATTGTTTTAATTAAGTAATCTGCCTTTACTATGAAAGGGTTAAAATAATAAAAAGTTAATAAAGAATAATTAAGATTTCAAAATGTGGATCCTCTGAATAAATACTATGAATTCTTATGTAACTACATACTGTAACAGCTTTGGAAAGTGAGATTACAGGAGTTCATTTGAGGAAGTTACTGCAAGTACCAGGAGGACTAAACGGAGGCTGTGTAACAAAAAAGGAAATGATTTTAAAGATTGGTGCCAATGTAAACCTATGTACCAAATACTACACAACTTTTGTTATATTTGGACAAGATTATGCATGAGCTGCCATACTGTTATAATGTGAAAACAGCTTCTTTAGTGTGCTATTGTAATTACAAATTATTTGGTACTACTGTAACTAAATTTCAGTGAAAGGCTCAAATGTCTATTAATACTATTAGCCAAATGATGATTATCCATAAATCAACTCTTGGATCTGTTAAAGTTTAATAGTGAGCCGTTGTTACTATTTCAATAACCTGCATCCCAATATTTTATGATGTACAGTTGCCAACAGTTGTATTCCACCCCTTGGTGGCCTTTCCAAACATTATGGCAACATCAAAATCTTATGAATGAATCGGTAATAAGAGGAGAGCAGTTGCTAACAACTGCTCTCCTCGCTATTCTTTCATAAAGTGATTTCGACATTAACACATACTGTATTCAGAAAGGTCACGAGGGTGGAACACTATACCCATGGGCAACCTTGTACCCAGTACTCTGCTGTTTGGCTCATTTCATTTGCTTTATCACTTGTTTCCACTTTATTATCTGTACAGTATATCCTAAATTTGTTTTATAAAAATCATGGAATGCATACTGATATATTATAACTAAACACCATTTCTGAGTTTTCCATTATTTTCTAAATGACCATTTTTTCTCTCTTTTTTGTTATTTATGTAAATGTTGTCAAAACGTTGGGATGCAGTAAGCACTAAGATGCTGTACTTCTCTATCTTAACCATCCAACTTAACCCCTTCACTAAATCACCTAACACATGTGGAAAGAACCACATATGATAAATCAGTTTACACTTTTATTTTTCATCCTGTAATATATAAATACAATATATATGGTTTTCACACTAAATTATAACAATTTTGAACACTTTTTAACATTATTACTTAACAAATACTCTTCCAACATGTCTTCCAGTCTACTGTATAACAATGAGTTTAGCAGATAAAACAATAAATATCTAAAAGCAATATAAATTCATAGTTCTTCTCACCTGAAAGGGACGAACACTGGAATCCACATCCAGTAAATTTTAGATTAGTCATTATATATATTAGTATTGGCAAGAAGCCATTATCACTATCAGTCACCAGTGTCGGGCACAAATTCCTCATCACTCCTGTCATAAATGGACTCCATTATGCTATGAAGCCATAAAAATTAAAAGAAAAGGGCAACACATGCTCACATTTACACCAACTGGACAACCAAATGCTGGGATGGGGTAAACTGCAGGTATGGAGGGATAAGACATCTGATTGGCTGGGGACAAAGAGCTGTATAACTTAAATTTTGCCATTACCACATCCTTGAATGTCACCAAATTCCTCTGGACTGTATCCAATGGAAGTTCCAAGCCAAGAAAACTATGCGAGTTCAACTACATCATTGAATATTTCTATGGACATTTTGAAGTCCGAAGTGTAAAAAGCAGTGAAGGGGTTAATATGGATTGAAGTTGATTAAGGTTATTGAAGTAAATGAATGTGAACTCAAAATATTAGCAATCCACCTACCTTTACTGGTATGAAGGTAGATTATCATTAGAATGCATATTATTATTCAAAGTACCAACCATCATCTGTTGTACCAGATTGATCATAAATGTAGAATAGCTTTTTTAGGGGCTCTTGAATACCTCCTTCATGAGTTGTGACAAACCTGTAGATGGCATGACCTGACTTTTCATATCCTATAAATAAAATCCCCAGGGAAGTATTTTAATAAGACTAATAACATTCTGCATTGTAGGTGTTCCTAATAAAATGTCTTTTGCTTTCCACTGAAAATATTAACTTGTCAGGAAGAATACCTAAAAGCCTAATTATGACATCTGAGATACTGATAACTGTAATGGTGACAGTGTTATCTACAGTACACAAATTAATATTCCCCAAATCTATACTGGTTTACACAAAGTATCTATTAGGATTTAAAATCAGTTAAATTCTTTTCTTTATATTTGTTAGATGTTTACCCAATAACAGCTTTATTATAAATTCATTTGAAATGAGTTTTTTTTTTTAGATATATATAACATCTTAGTATAATGAGGTCCAGAAATACATCAAATAACACCTTATATGATCATCTACATCCTGGTGGCTTGTATTTCTTTAGTTTACTCACTGGGCACTCTCCTTGTCACTAAAACTCATGGAATAATATATCAGTTTACTGACTGTCCATACTTAAGCATATAATAGCCTAAATTTGTTTGCATCTAATAGAACTGGCATTGTATCTTAGTTAGCCACGTCACCTTGACAACTACATTATCTTAAGTTTGGTTACAAATTATATTTTGCATAGTTTAACTTACAAAAACTTGACTATACTGTATATCAGTGACACTTTGAAAGTTCTGTGAAATAAATAAATATATGCTGATTCTAAAGTGTGAAATAGGGGCTTTAAGAATCACAAACTCAACAAATGCTTGAGCACACAAAATAATGTGGAGCAGTAAACAAGACAACTCCACTGACTGGTATGTTAAGTTCCCAACAAACACCTAAACCAAATGTGTCTAGAAGGTTGTTGAACGTGGGCAAAGCTGATGTCAACATGAAAAAGCCCAAAAGGTCACTAGTGACTTATCTCTATGTCAATGTAACAAAAGTTGACAGGACATAGACAAGTAAATACACAGATAATGTTGTGTTTGATAACAATACTGAGTTTAATCATTCTGTAGGCAGTTTAGTCAGCAGATATTACAGGATATTGATTAGGAATGACTAGAGACTTGATAATATGTAACTATAGTGCAGGATAACATTTCTTGTAAAATCTCAACATTTTCATTTATGCGACAAAAGGAATGTATATTCCTGTATGTTGTAAATGCACAATTGACAGTACCTTATGCAACAAAATCAGGACAAGACTAACATGACTAGCAGGATATGGAATGACCAGAGATAAAACAAGTGAACAGTCTTTGCATCAATTCATGGCAGTCTGGGCTATGGCAACATTCACTTTGAATCACCAAAATAATAATTGGCCTGGTGAGCCTAAAGCGCTATATACATGATATGTACAACACAACCATACCTCCGAGCACCCGCTTTACACTATCGAATTCTAAGTTTCAGCCGATAAATTCGGGACACACGGACCAGACAGTCCCAGGAACACTGTATCAGGCGCTTCACATCCCCTAGGACCACCGCTACACTGACCCACGACTTGAGGAAGACTAACGCTTGACAGGCAGAGGCAGGCGAGGCTACAGCTGAGGCGGACTAGGGTACAGCAGACCTCACTGTGGGATCTACAACTTGCAATAGCTGCTGCTGCTGCTGCTGCTGCTGCTGCGGAGGGCATGGGGGAATACAACTTGTCAATAAGAGTTGCATGAAAGAAGTAGCTAAGGAGCAGCTACGAGAATGGGACAGTCACCCCTTGCTGATGCCTCACCATTTGTAGATGACAAAGATGGGACTTCTCTTCTTATTAACTGGTTACTATTCCTGCCTATGGGCATTCCAACTCCCAACAACCAGCTAGGTCGTGATTAGATCCTCTGTATGGTGATATTCCTCATAAAGCCTGCATAAAGTGAGCAGAAGGCAAGGATACATCAGATATCTCCTGCTGCCGAATGAGTCGTGGTGTGGCGGGGCAAGGCCAGCCTCAGGTAGGTGATGTGGCTTTGGGGATTAAACTGAGACACATTTTATCTTGTGCCCTATTTAACTTATGGCCCTCTTTTTCTCTGCCTCTCTCGGTGCTCCCTGAAAAATTGTGCTTTACGAGATCGGATCCATGAGATGGGATTTCGATATACTTGTCTATAGTGCCAAGTATCTGGCACCCCATAAGTCTTTGCAATGTCACTATCACTAGTTGTCCCCAGTGGGGGAAATGTCTGAGGCACATCATGGGGCAGGGGAGTACTACCCACAGGGTTTTTGGTGCCCACCACCAAGGGGGCATGAGGGTGAGGGGCAGGTCTGGTGGGCGACGGGGTGCGGGCAAAACTGGGCTGGTGCAGGTGGTTCCTGACGGACTTCCCTTTGGCCTTCTTGGGGGTGATGGGGGTGCCACCCATACCTGTGGCAATTTCAGTAATAGCCGCCACAGAGCTGTGAAACAGCGAAGGAGGGGAGCTATAAAGCACATTAGCACCCCCAACAGTAGAAGGTGGAGTGTTCCCAACCCACGAAGCACCATGGAGGATAACTGGAAGGGCAGTCCAGTACCCATCACCCACACAGCTGCTGCGGTAACGACAACACACCTGTCCACCCTGAAGTATAACATAAAAGCATTACTTAAATGTTAATTCAACTTATATCACTTAACAAAAGTAAAATATATAATCAAAACAGTAGGTTAACTTGTGAATTGGTTTGGTAATAGTAATGTCTTATACTATGTGGTCCTTTTTACTCATGAACTGATAAATCAATGTGAAATACTTTGATACTGTACTAACAAAAACATCTGGCATAGCTGAGCTGGCAGGCAGTGCAAAGGCAAACATGCAGCGTGGGAAAACAGATTACCGGTAAGTAATATAGGAATACTGCATCCATGCAATCTTGGAGAGAGGCAAACACTTAAGAAACCCTTAACACTGATTATCTAAATATTTCATTCAAAAACTATATACTGTACATAGTTGCAGTATCCTTTACTGAGAAATGTAGTGATAGAGCAATAATGAATTTTGTCAAAGGACATTCAAGGGAGCACACAGTGTGTGAATCTTGGTAAACATACAAGGTTTATACCTGTATTTGCTTTTACATCATAAATGCAAGAAGTCCCTTGTTAGATTGTGAAGTCACTACCTACTGACACGTAAGATCTGAAAAATCATTACAAGAATGAGTGAAGTTTTGAATAAAAGATGGTTCAAAGGATGTCTCCAAAAGATAGATGTCTGCTAAGTAGTAATGCCAGAAGTACCTGTGAAAATATAGGAAGAGCTGTCTTGGGAATGCTAGCCATTTTCATTTCACAATAAAATTAAATATAACCATAATTTAAAAAAAAAAGGTTATATATGCTAATGAAATTAAAAATGTAATAGCAAAACCTGGCAATGGTATCACTTCTCAGAATGTTCTACAGTGGGCTCTTAGTGAGATTAAAAAAAGAAGAAAAAGCAATGTGTTGAAGCAGCTGCCTTGTACGTGAACAAAGATCTTTCAACCAACATGTGTATGGGGGATACAGTAATTTCATTAAGTACCGGTATTTGTTTAGATTAACTTGTCTGTAGACTATTATAGGGTATTCTTTTACATATAAAAGATACCTTTAACTTCATATAATGTGAAGTTTACATCCGACTTTCTTAAAAAAAAATAAAAATAAATAAAAAATAAAAATAAAATGGCTATAAATTCAGGAAAGTACCCAACATAGTCTTACAGTATTTTCAAGAAATTCTTGGATAACAAGCAATCTCTAATGCTACAGAAATGTCCACAAAGTGTCTCTTAACACCATTTAAGGAATATGAGCACCACCTGATTAATATTAAAATCAATCCATTCATTATCGGTTTCATGCTTTGCCCTGTATATCTTCAAAATATTCAACATGAGAAAGAATAAGCAAGTGTTATCAATGGTCACACACACACACACACACACAAATCAATTAAAGTGATGCCTTCTACTTTCCAGTCATTTCACCTCAAGTCTGCTAATTTCTAGTTTTTCAGGTTAGTCAGTTTAAAGAAGTCTAGTACAGTACAGTGGTTAAGCTGTAGTGACAACAAATTCATTTCATATAGAAATGATACCAAAATCTCACAAAAAATTTTGAATTCAGTTCCCTATGTTAAAGGATGAAGATTATCAGGAGTACAAGTACTGTACTTAGACTTATTTGAATTATTCCCATTTGTATACTGTACTGTATAAATTGTACTCGAATAATTAGAGTTTTTATGATCAAATTTGTATGCAAAATGTAGGGGATCAAACTATATCCTGTATGCATAATGTTTTTGCGAGTTAAAATTCATGCATTTTTATGGGTCACTTACGGTGATGATAGCTACCCGGGACAGTACATGCTCCTTAACCTGGGCTTGCCTACCATACTCCTCGATTCTTTCTTTATGTTCCTATATGAAGAGTAGAACCTCATTCACTATATATGCTGCTTCAAATCTAAAAATACCTGATACAATGAAGATTTCCAGATAATTTTCTTTTCATTTGCTGCTGGTGGCATTGTTGCCAAGTTAAACTCGTCACTGTACAGACACTCCGCGGGTTACAGAACACTTGGTTTATGAAAATTCAAGGATACAGAATGCTTCTCATAAGTCACAAATATTTTTCGGTTGCACAAGTGTTTGTTATTACGGAAGGTAACTAGTACGACATAACACTATTTGGGGAGGATTATGCGTAAGGCGGCCGAGCACATCTCCTTGTGAGACGCCATTTGTGACTCAGTACAGTGTACAGTACATATTTACCTTATGGAAAGGTCATTTTTGGTTTACAGAAAATTTGGCTTACAGATAGGGTCCAGGAATGGAACTTTTCAGTAAACCAGGAGTGTCTGTAGTCAGATCCCCCTAGCCCATTCACTACCAGGCTGAGCTGTGAGCTGTATTATGGTTATAATTTCGGGTAGATATATTTAACTTTCTTCACTTTTTTCTTTTTTTTTACTCAGTTACATGCATACACAGCCATACATACAGAATGTGAAAAAAATACGATACTCATTAAAAACAATATTTATCCTTCACTTTCTGCAGCTGCTCTATGCTGTTCTAATTCGCTCTTTCTCTCTTTTTTCTTATTACCCAATCTTATTAGTTTTCACTATACTACACTGTACAGTATTAAAGAAGACACAATAGATTCTGTAGGTCTGACAGCCTGGTAGGTGTGGTATGGATACAACACACTGTAGGTTAAGCCTTTTCTTTGTACCCATTCACAACTGAGTGGACTTGCAGCAATAAATATGATTGAATAACAATGAATTAAGTGTGTGTGTACATTTGCTCTTGATTCTGACCAACCAACATTATGGCAGGAAAAAGACTAAAAGAGTGTAAGGCAAAATCATATCATCTAATAATTCACACATCCACACTATCAATGCCTAAATTACTCAAAAGAATTGGAGTATTTTAAAAGTTTTCCCTTCAGAACACTAACATTATGAACCCAAGGTCACTACAATATATACAGTACAGTATATTAAATGTATCACACAGCTGTACAGTACAGTACTATACATAGCTAAACTGATGTGTGGTACAGTATCACACTAAGTGCAGTGCACTGTCAATCATGTATTACATGTGTAGTCCACTATTACACATGATGCACTCATTTATTCCTAGTACGTACAGGTATATCCCAAATGTTCAAACTTTTGAGTTCAACCTTTTCTGTTAACAATATTCACGTTCCTGCTCTATACTCAAAACACCCACATTGTGCTTTTATTTCCAATCTAATCAACATCCTTCATAATTCTCTCATTTTAGTTACGAAACTCATTTTGATATAGGATTCCCTATTACAATACTGTAACATAATTATTATATTATATACTGCACAGAAAATCCAAAACTCCCATCTGCTTCTATTACTCATTTAAATCCATATCTCTGCTTACACAGCCACTGCAAATTTTCTCTGTACTCCATCAATACAGTAATGTTCAGTACTGTATTGTAAAGCATCCAGTACCCTTCTTGTCCCTACATTCCACTGGGTGCTAGTATTTCTGATAGAAGTCTTCCTTATAAGTCAATCAAAACAATCTGTAATATACTGTTTACACTGGGAATGCCCATGAAGATTTTTACTAAAAAACACTACTCCCATAAACAACCCCCATGGTCTGTCCTTGGTAAACACGTGCAGTCTAATTACTGAACGTACCCTAATAATCTTAATAAAATTCTTAATTGTATCTGCTAACTCTCCTCTATCATTCCTGTAAATCTGAGATATTCTATTAATATACCGGTATTACTAAGTTTACCCCTTAAATACTGTATTAACTGTTGGACTCTCAACTTTCCTCTACCCAGCCATTATTTCATTGTCTAATTCTCCTTCACCAAGTAAACCATTTCCAGTTTTACACATTACGTAACTACATTAATGTTATCATTGAACAGTTTAAATAACCCTGAAATTTGCAGAACATATAATCCTCAATACAATATAGTGCAGTTTATCCCGTACTGCTCTCCTTCTTCTCCATTCATTTTCTCAGTGTAACAACAACAAATGTGAGTCAACTAGAGTACAGTATAGTGTAACGATATGGTAAGACAATTACTTCATAAAAATGCTTGGGTATCAAATAAAGCTCAAAATATTTTCCTCCATACCATTTCACACTCTGTGATAGGTGTCATGCCTTGTGCTTTGTCACTATGTACTTTATGCAAAAAAAGTAAAAAATCCTAAACTGTATTTATACTGTAATTACAGTTAAATATTTCAATTTATCAAAGTACATTACTATAGTATAAAAATTAATATTTTCAATAGAAATAAAAACATGCTCTGCTTTAAGCTATGTGTGCATTAATATATATTGTATAGGTCCTTACATCTAAAATGAAAGGCGCGCATGGGTGTGTGTGGGTGCTGAACATCGCATCATGCCATTAGTAAAATGTTTGTTAAATACTGTATGTACGCATGAAAAAGTATCCAGGTACTGTACATTTTCCTCTATCAAAGTTGCCTAATACTGTATGTACACATGTGACTGAACACTACTGTGAAGAAATAGCTGCACTCAACAATTCCCTGAGAGCAAGAAGACTGTCTACATATGGCTCGTGCATATCCCAGACAAGATATAGAAGTGAGTCGTGCAGGACCCAAACATTGATGGTGTGAGAGAAACTGAGGGAGTGAAGACGACTACCCGACGCTAGGCCACTAGCCCGCCCCGCAACAAGCAACGCCCGTGCAACAAGAGGCCACAACTTGATTACCGGTGTACACGGACCGCGCCACCCCGACCTTCACCCTCCCAGCAGTACGGCATCTGTAATATCATAGTTCTGTTAGTTACCAAGTCATACAAAAATATAAAAGGCCAATGAACTGATACTCCTTCTTTCAGCAGTTCAACATGTTACACTGTAAATCTGTTTCACTATACAGTACAGTATACAGGGACCACTGTACTCTAGTGATTAAAAAACCTGTCATTACTACAGCATTTTTCCTGTAAATTTAAATTACAGTACAATAATTAATATATTAACAGAAATGTTTAAATATTTTAATGAACTTTTCCTGAAAGCGAATATTATTAGTTTACATCAAATTCAGTATAAACAGAACAAACATGCAAGATGAAAATATTAAACAAATCTTGAATTTCATTAAGTACAGGCAACTGTCACTTCACTGAGCTGTACTCCATTGATACATCTTTATAAAACAATAAGTAACATAATTATTAAGAAAAAAAAAGGTATACAAGACTATAAGACCTTTATATTGTCATAAGCTGGTGTGAATTCACCTAAGTGAGTACTGGTGCTTCTCGTAAGACAACTAAACCACTGAGCCCCTCACTTGGGAATATACTTTTTGGCAGCAAATTTCTTGCATTTAAATTTTCATCTTTGATGTTTTGAATATTTTTTGTTCAATTCTTTAAACATTACAATATTCATCCCTATTTTCAATTTTATTTTTTATTTGTACAGTTCAAATAATAAAAGTGACTGGCATTATTTTAAGAAAAAATTCTAACTTTCATACATTAAATGAGAGATAATGTTATGAAAGAATCCAGATTATCTTTGGGTTATTGATATAAAAACACTTGACCACTTAATGTTCACCAATAAACTGTGATGCATCCAGATAAAGTAAACTGTGCTGTACTGTGTTAATTATGAAATTAAAGCTGTAATAAAAGTTGAATCAAATGACCACAGAACTACTGAGTCCTTTAAATTTGTGTTTACGTTTGACTATACTCTTATATTTACTTTTATCCTCTTCACCAGTGATTGGCTCGTTAGCAACTTGGGCGGTCAGTCACATCTTTAATAGGTACTGTTAGCAAGTAGTGGATCCTGAATGTATCTGAACCTACTCCAGTGTTGGTCAAGTCTGGTCTTGAAGGAGCTCACACTTGGTGCCATCACAACACACTCTGGCTGGTTGTTCCAAGAGTTCACAATTCTCACTCCAAAAACGTTCCCCTCACGGTTTTCTGGAATTGTGGCTTCTTCAACCTTGAGCTGTGCTCCCTTGTGGGGGCAGTTGTCTGCTAACTCCAGGTATGGACACTCGATTGAGTAGTGCTCCTCGAGATGTTTATACACCTCAATTAGGTCACCCCTTGCCTGTCTAGTATAAGTTAGGCAGTTATAGGCACTCTAATCTCTCTGGATAACTGAGGTGCCAAAGAGCAGGCATCAATCTGGTGGCCCTCCTTTAGACATTTCCAATCAACTGACAGTCCCTAGCATATCTTGGGGACAAGAGGGGTGACCGTATTCCAGGCTGGGAAGCACCTCACTCTTGAAGATCGTTACGAGGGATGGACCATCTAAATATCTGAATGACCTACTAGTTTAGTTGCTTGAGTCACCTTCTTCTCATAACGGCCCGAGAACTTCAGTTCATTATCAACATACACACCAGGTCCTTTTCGCATTCAATCTCTATTAATGCAGTTTCTTCGTCCCGTTGGGACATATGATACACCTCCTTACCATTGGAATGTCCTAGGTGCATCCTCTTATACTTCGTGACATTGAATCTTAGCAGCCATTTCCTCGACCAATCTTGAAACTCACAGAAATCTCTCTGCAGCTCTTCACAGTCTGGTTGGTTCTTAATTTCCCTGAATAACTTGGTATCGTCTGCAAACATTTGCATGGAGGATCGCATAGCTTGCGACACATATTTTATGAAACAAACAAGCAAAAACAATGGGCCCAATATACTGCCTTGTGGTACCCCGCTCATCATAGGTACACATGATGATTTCGTACCATTAAGCACCACACACTGCCTGCAATCATGTCGAGTCTACAATCCTCGCTAGGACACTTCCCTGAATCCTGTACCCTTCCAGTTTAATTCTCAGTCTTTCATGGGGTACGCTGTTAAAAGCTTAGTAAAATCTAGGTATACAGTGTATTATCGATATTACCACCCTGTTCCATAATTTGGGTCTAAACATCCAGTACCTTGAGTAATTGTGTTAAGCAGGAGCATCCCTGCATAAAATAGTGTTGGCAGTCCTTTACAAGGTTGATGGGGAAGAGAAGAACTGAGGTAGTAGAAATAACTATGAGGAGTCATTAGGTCTGGCTGAGAAACAGAAATTAAGTACTGTACCTGGACAGTAATATTGTACTGTATACAGTTTGGGTGTACAGCTTATTCCTATTAATTGATTAAAGATCAAAAGCCTTCAACTTGTGCTAAAATTTACCACCCACTCGAGGTAGCCATGCTGAGGGAAGGAGGATCCTCCATTGTTCTTGATAATTTTGTCAAGGGCTATTTTGAAGCCCAGTATGGTTTGTGATTCCACAGTTTGGGCTTGTAGATCATTCTATAGGTCTACCACCTTCTGTTAGAAGAAGTATTTCATTATGCTCATTCTGCATGGTAACTTGGGGAGCTTGTAGTTGTCCCCTCATGTTGGGGATGCATGACATCACAAAAAAGTGACTCGGGTTCACGTTTTCCATTCCCCTAAGGATTTTGAAAGTTTCAATGAGATTTGCCCTAATTTGCCTTGTCTGAAGGGTTATTAGTCCTAAAGCCCTCAGTCTACTTGGATAATCGAGATGACATAGTTCCAGAATCATCTTAAGGAAGTTAGGTCTTTCTGGAGGTAGAGTTCCATGCCTGTGTACATTAATCCAGACTGATGTTACAGTATGGGCACTAATTGTACAATTGAAGGAACATTTTCCCATCTTTGTATTCTAAGGTAAGCTTTATAATTCTCGAATATCAGTTAGCTTTTCTCATTGTAGGCCCCACTTCTTGTGCCACCATCAGTGAATGGTCTATCTCAAAATCTTGATCTTTCTCCTTATTGACAGTATCCAGGAATGTGTTATTAAGAAAATAGTTGTGATTAGGGTTGTTGTATCCTACAAGTAGAGTCTTGCATTTTGTAACGTTAAAGAGCATTTACCTATCTCGAGACTATTTGAACATCTCGTGTAGGTCTTTATGCATTTTTGTGACATTGTCTTGATTTACTACTTTAATAATTATCTTTGTGTCATCTGCAAACTTGACAATGTGGCTTGATGTTTTCATCTGTCATTTATGTAGATCATAAACAGGGTAGGTCCAAGGATAGAGCCTTATGGTGCCAACATTTCTACTAATCCAAACTTCTCTATTTCTCTCTGTGAGCAGATTTATTAAAATTGCCTGTGCAGTACTTCAGATAAATGAAAGTTGCTTGTACTTCAAATAAATGAACATTGCTTGTAGTTCAGATATATGAAATAAGTCTGTACATTGCACTGTACTTTGATCAATAAAAGTTGCCTGTAATTCAGCATAAGCACATCACTCACAGATCATCCCAGTTGTTATGCAACTGTCAGTTGATCCACTTCACTGTCAAAATTAAATAAATATTTGGTCATAATGTACAGTATTGTATTAGTATGTTATAAAAATATGAAGGACTTTTAATCACCAAACACTACAACATCTGTAAGATTACTTTGTCATTACTACATCAACCAGTTAATAACCCTTCAAATGGCAACCATCATTGGTAGAAGTTAGCTACTGTATAGGGAAAGTGGCCATCATTGGAAGACGTTAGCTATAGGGAAAGTGGCCATCATTTGTGGGAGTTTCAAGTTTTTTACACTTCATTTGAGTAATTGGTTCATGCATAGCCAATAGATATCCTTGACACCACTCCCCTATACTGTACCATGCCCCAGGGTATCAATAGTGACTCAGGCAGAAAGACGCTCTTTGACATCTTGTGCTGGTAAAGGCCCAAGGGACCTATTTTGTTTGATAGTAGTGATGATGATATTAAAGAATAGAGAATACAAAGAGGCAGAGGAAAAAATTAAAGTGGAAAGGCAGGAGACAGGAAGTGTATACAGCACAGTATTTGGATACTTTTACATACTTTTGCATTAATAATAATGAAAATGTGCATATGGGTAGGGGGGATCCTTAGCCACCATTTAAGGGTTAATAACTAAACTTAAGAACACCAGAAAATACAGACTGAATGTGAAGTTTTAATTTAATAAAAAAAAAAATATCATTATATTTAGTCATAGGTAAGTAACCTGATTTTATATTGTATCCTACAATCGTTATGTGCAACCACGTATTAAACTACAGTACAGTACAATTGCCATTTTTTAATGGTCATCTGGATTCTTGCTACAAAAATCAGCAGGACTGTAGTAGTGGAGGCAGTTGTTCAGGATCTTAATCTGATAATTCCTTTAAAAGATATACAGTACAATACTGTAGTATTAAACTGTAATGCGACTAATATTGCGGGTACAGAACACATACAGCTGTTAACATAATTCTTATTAATGTCTTATATCACCTCTGCTCCACGTGAATAATAATAAGAACCTGGAAAGAAAGAAGACTTGGTGATTAATCACTGCATTGTAGTAAGTCACTGTAGACGTGACTAACAAGTCTCATTTAGTCTGGCTGCCAGAGACTAAATCATCAATAAAATACCTGTTTACAATATGTGTCACAATGAAGTACAATCATTGTTAGGTTTTAAAGTATATCCAAGCAGACATAACAAAAGTACATTATGAAAAATTAATAAAACGATATTTTTGTACTGTTTAGTACAGTACATATTTGAAATTCATGTGTAAAGTACAGTACTGTACTGTACTGTACTGTACATGATTAGGATGGGTAAGTACAGTACACTATTTCATTGAGAGTGAGGGAGGCAGTAAGCATATGGAGCAACTACTTATTTCAAAACTTTATGGTAAACTAGGTTTTTTAGGTCACTACATATGACTAAAACAATATTGTTATAATTACTACAGTACAGTATTATGATATAACAAAAACTATAGTGAGATACAGTAATTCATCTGTTTAAAAAGACAATATAACCAAATCCTGCACTGTATTGTATACATTAATTATCAGATCAAGCCAACATAAGTTATTTTAGTTAACGACTACACTTTTAAATATTCAAAATACCAATACAATACAACACAATAAGTCTACAAACTTCCAACAGACAAATACATATGCGACCATCTCTGGGACCTTCCAACCAAGGTGTCTAGGAATTCACTTTTGTTATATAGTACAGTACAAGTATTCTGTTTTGATATGATAGCAAAAATTTTGAAAGAATTTTACTCAATTTAAATTCACCCAAAGTTTAATGGTTTTATTTTCAGGAAAATTAAGTTGTCATTCAAAAAATTTGAGAAATTTACCTCTAATGTTTTCCTTCACCCAACTTGCTTTTTGTTGCATGAATTTCATGCACCAAATACTATAGTACATTAAAATGAAGCTTTTAATCTTGGTTTCACTATAATGCACTGTATACTACATGTATAAGAAAATTAACTGAAAGTTAATCCATGTTCCCAATTCACGTGCTGCTGACCAGAGACTATAAAAGGAATTCAAGTAAAGAATTAGGTACAGTATAGGAGTAATGTGGGATAACTGCCATCATAACCCAGATCAATCCCTTGTATCTGAGGCAAGCAATGGCTATCAAGCACCATTATGCATCTGAAACATATCGCAGGATAGCTAAAGTTTGTGCGCTTTAGTTCACTTTTACAATCTGTAGTTAGTACATTAAACACAGCTAATAAATAATTACCATAGATACAATAAACTACTTCATTAAAAAAAAAAAAAGTGTTTAAATGCATTTTAGAGCATTTATGCCTCTTGAGCAGCCTGAAGTCTTGGTGGACTCTGGACTCCCGACATTATTTTACTCACCTTGGTACTGTATTGGGAGGTGAACTTTTTCTGGCTCACCAGCAATTAAAAAAAAATGAAGGCCTGCAAAATACTTTTGTCATAAAAAACATATTTTCCATCATTTTCATAAGTACAGTATGTTCAATACTATGTACAGTCGTTCAAACCTCTTGGAAAATAATAACCTCTAGCATGTTGTGTAGTGTACAAAACTTGGCCAAGGTAGCCAATTTTAACACAGTTTTCTGCTGCATTTAACAATAATACTGTAATAAAGAATGTTTTTAAATATGAGAAATTAAATTTTTGTTAATACTAATAGATATGGACTGGATTTTTCTTTCCCATGGAAAACTGGAAAAAATCTGATACTCTGAATTTCAACTGGCATTGTTGTAATACTGTTTGTACAGTTCGGTACTAGTTAACACAGGTTTGGCCAGGTTATACCAGAGACAGTCACATATATCACTAAGTCAAATATTATCATCTCCAAGATCTTACACAACTATTTATTTATTTATTTAATATATATATATATATATATATATATATATATATATATATATATATATATATATATATATATATATATATATATATATATATATATATATATATATATATATATATATATATATATATATATATACTGTATAGTGAAAGACTTGCACATCTTATTAATGTGTTAAGCTTCAAGGAGACTCACCTGACACCTGCAGGTAGTGCAGTCATCATTCAATGCTGCCCACTCAGCACCAGGGGGGTATGTGGCACCCAGATAATGGCAACCTTGGGGGGTAGAGGTATCCGCAAGGCCTGTACCTATACTCGTATTACTCGTTTCCGAGGCCATACAGGGATCATCGGGGCAACGGGCACAACAGTCACCAGGCACCCGTTCAGGGGATGAGCAATGCACTGGTGGACATTCTAAAGGCCAGCAATCTATTTCTCCATACTGGTGATACAGACAAGAAATTCCAATGTAAGCAAGACATAAAAACAGTAGTGTTACATTACATTTGGTTCATAATACATGTATGAATTACATTTGCTTTGAGTAATTTCCATTAATAGTAAGGCCCATAATAACAGTGTATAGAAGGAGAGATAATTCTATTTGATGAAAAAAACTTTATGTATGCTAAAACACCTCAAATCTTGATTTTGCCTCAGACCAGCAAAATAAAGTCTAGTAGAAGGTCTTATAAGAAGGTCGGTCAGATATCTAGACGGTCCGTCTCTCGTAACACTCTTCAAGAGTGAGGTGTTTCCCCATTTGGAGTACTGTCACCCTGTCTGGTCCCAAAGATATGCTAGAGACTGTCAATTGACTGAAAATGTCCAAAGGAGGGTCACCAAACTGGTGCCTGCCCTATGGTACCTCAGTTACCTAGAGAGATTAGAATGCCTGCAATTGCCTAGCTTATACTATAGGCAGGTATGGAATGACTTAAGTGATTAAGTTTATAAATATCTCAGAGGACATAATTAGTCATGTGTTCACTTATGTTCGAAAAATTGTGAGGGCAAACTTTTCCGAGTGAGAATTCTAAACTCTGGGAACAATCCACCAGAGTGGTGACAGCACCGAGTGTGAGCTCATTCACGACCAGATTTGATGTATACTGGCATAAGTAGATACATTCCAGAGCCAGTACTATACAGTATATGCCCAGTACTTGCCAACTGTGTGTAACAGAGGCGTGACCAACAAGCTAATCAGTGGTGAAGAGGATAAAATTAAAAGTTAAGCAAAAGAAATATGCATGTGTGACCCAAGCAACTAAGCCAATAATGACTAACACTATAACACTTAAGTTTTACTTTTACTTTTATCCTCTTCGCCACTGATCGGCTCGTTAGCCGCTTGGGAGATCGGTCACGTCTCTGATTACTTTTCCTTTTCATTTATCTTCTTCACCAAAAGATCGGCTCGCTAGCCGCCTGGGTGATCGGTCATGTCTCTGTCACGCACTGTTGGCTAATACTGGGCATACACCGGCTCCTGAATATACCTGAACCCGCTCCAGTGTTGGTCAAGTCTTGTCTTGAAAGAGCTCACACTCGGTGCCGTCACAACACTCTCTGGTAGATTGTTCCAAGAGTTTACAACCCTCACTCCAAAAAAGTTTGCCTTCACAGTTTTCTGGACTTGCGGCTTCTTCAATCTTGAGCTGTGACCCCTTGTGGGGCGAGCGTCTGCCAGCTCCAAGTAAGGACACTCGTCTGAGTAGTGCCCCCTGAGATGCTTATACACCTCAACTAGGTCCCCCCTTGCCTGTCTGTAGTATAAGCTAGGCAAGTTCAGGCGCTCCAATCTCTCAGGGTAGCTGAGGTGCCGAAGTGCAGACACCAGTCTGGTGGCCCTCCTTTGAACATTTTCAACCAACTGACAGTCCCAAGCATATCTCGGGGACCAGACGGGGTGACATATAAAATACAAAACCCCTAAGGAGAACATGGAATAATTTTAATAGTTCATATTAATTCCCTTCATTTTACATACACTGGTTTTTAATTAGGCAAACATATGACCAGTTTCCATTATGGAAAAGACAACCATAAACGATTTTTTTTAAATATTATACTGTATTGTTAGTACTGTATATCATAACTGACCAAGTGAAAACAAATGATGAGTAAAGTCTTAATGAATATCTTGTGTCACCCTGGTCTATTAGCAGGATATGACATGTCGTTTTATATAAAGAAGTGAAGTTAAAAATAAGGCAAACATAAGTTTACAATTATCATCCAAACAGTGCTGCTTATTGCTTATTATTATTATTGGTGATCCTAGATTTCTGACCATTGCAACAGACAATAAAATATCTCCATGCTCTAAAGTAATCCAATATATTGGAATTGCCAATCAAAAACATATACCAATATCTTTTGGCATTTACGATACAGCAAACCAAAAACTTTCAATACTGTATACTGAAAGGCTCTAAAAAATAATTATGAATCACATACGATATACAAGTTACCAAAGATAGACCAACTAGAATAATAAAAAATGCACAAATAATAGCCACAATACAAGTAGAGTAACAAAATAATACTCACAAGGCATTCACAAGTCTGGCATTGGTATATCCAACGCTGACCGCTGTGAAAGGTGATGTGTTGTTGTGCCTGATGTGAGCAAGAGGCACGAGGATCACAATGAGGACAACACCTAAGATTAACTTTGGGATCAGAACAGTCACATACAAAACGTTCACAGGTTACAGTACCCTCCGAACATAAACACTGAGAACACTCAGAGCCGGGAGGGGTCCATACATCACCGTGTGGTCGCTCTAATCCATTCACCACGCACCCTGTTCGCAAAAAAATATGATACGGATTGTACAGTTACACAATGTATTGTTTAAAATAAATAATGATTAAATATTTACACTACACTATATAGTGTCCTCCAAACATCCAGATTTAAAATTTCTACAAAATGAGTAATATTTTTCCCAAAATTGTCTTCTCATTATTTCAGTACAAGGCATCTGAAACCAGTATTAACTGACCATGGGAACAGGTAGTGCCATTTTCACAGGTACATAAGAAGGATCCTTCTGTGTTTACACAGGTAGCCGACTCATGGCAGGTAGCTGTTCCCGCACTACACTCATCCACATCTAAAAGTAAATAAATAAAATAAATAAGTCGGTATCCAAGTTACCAAGATTCCTTTGTACAACATAAACATGTATTTAAAGCATACACATATTTTTCAGCAATTTTCTATTTTTTTTTTCATTGATTGTACAGATTACTGTAACCATATAAATTTTACCTTGGCAAAGAAGGCCTTGGCTGTTATCTGCTAAGAGGGAGGTGTACCCTAGGAGGCAGTGGCAAGTGTACCAGCCAGGGAGGTTAACACAGCGAGAGTTTTGATGGCAGTGGTGGAGTTCCAGTGCACACTCATCAACATCTAATTCACAGGCCAGTCCCCTAAAGCCTCGTCGGCACTCACACTTACCAGGCGAAATGCAAACTCCACCATTCTCACATGTAGTATTACATATAGCTGAAAGAAAGATGGACTCAAATTAAGATCTATGCAAGTTAAATATACTGCAAACTTATAGATACTTCAATGTTTCTCACCTCAGTGTTTCTCAGCAACTGTGAGATTCAGTTAAGAGGACAGATTTAATTCAATAATGAGATACCTTCCTTGACAGGATCGTTACAACCAAGCAATACTGTACACACCTTCATCTAATTATACTTCAAACTGTTATTGATATTCCCATCAAGGCAAATCTTAAATTTTCATCTCGTGTTAGCAGTTGTTTTTTAAGTAGAATTTCAAACTGATACTCACGTTTGCAATTAAATCCATCTCCAGTATAACCCGCATGACACGTGCAGTGGTACCCGCCACGAGTATTTGTGCATGAGGCATGCTCATGACACTGATGGGCTCCCTCGCTGCATTCGTCCCGCTCTACACAAGTTAATTCATCTACACGTACATAGCCAGACTCACACTGACAGACATAGGAGCCCACAGTGTTAACACAGTGGGTGTGAGCTTGACAGTAATGACCATGGTGTGCACCAACCTCACGGCACTCGTCAATATCTGAAACATGAACCATCGTCATTTGCATATCCAGTATACCACCGACTACCAAGTGTGGCTTTGGATAATAGTGTACAAGCCACTTTATATATAAGCTATACCCATTTCTCCTGCAATTAATAAGTTTTTCTTTATAATTTGAAACTGAAGTAGAGATATTAATAACACAATACAGTAATATGTGATATAGTACTGAGAGAACTGGGGCTTCTACATAGAACTTTACAAGACTTCCAAAGATCATCTCTGGTAAATGTTGTAAATATCATGATGTAACATACACTCCATGTACAGTAAAACCCCACTTTAAGCGGTTTCACTTTGCGCGTTTCCACGTTTACGCGGTACCCTGCCGAACACGGAATGCTCACTTTACGCGGTGCATGTACTCTTTTACGCGGAGAGCGGCGCGGGCAGGGTGCGCACAAGGTCGCCCAGTCATCAAAACATTACCGAGTTCTTCACCCGCCACCCACCACAGCCGGCCCAAGTCAGTGATAGTGATAATGATAGTGAGGATATGGACTTATATGGACTTTGAGGGGTTTGACAAAGAGGCCCTGCAAGCTTCTGTGGTGGATAGTGATACAATTGATACAGGTGATGGCTAATAATCTGCCCTCTGCCTCGGAACCAACCCCCCATCCCCGTGTGCCCAGCCATCTTTTCTACTAATGTAAGTGTTAAAAAACCTAATATTATTGATATTTCTCTTAATTATTAATTGTGTGTGCATACCATCATAAAATTAAGAAGTTATTTTTACTGCAACGTAGGTATTGTGTCTGAAAAAGTGGAGTTTGGGGGTCGGCTCGGTCTCTATTTCAATTAATCCCATATGTTATGTTGTTCACTTTACGCGTTTCTCGCTTTATGACTACAGGCAGGGTGAGTCATGACAGTTAAGATGTCTCTGGGAGGAAATTAACACTCAATTAATTAAAGAAAATTAGTGTAGGCCAGTATGGTGGGAGTCTGTTCAGATCTCAAAGTATTCCTACACCCTAATGTAATGGTTTCATTCAATATAAAAAAGAAGAGAAATGATAAGCTTCAAAATGTATATTTCCCATTATTTATTGTACATCAAGTCTTAAAAAGAAACTAAATAGCAAAGGTAAGGAGAATTTCCTTAGCCTTTTTTAGTATACGTAGCCTACTGTAAAGTAAAATAAGTAAAGGTGTCATTTAAGTTCAGTTTGTGGTAAATTTGAGTTTAGGGTTAATGGTTCAGTAAAATTACAGACTTCAAGAAAAGTTACGCTGCAGAAATTAAAAAATAAATAAAACAAGTTGTGGAAATAATACATACTGTATTAAATCATAGGACCAGTGGCAAAGAAGACAAAGTAAAGGAAATATTAACTAAAATTACTTGATTTCTAACCTGTACAAGTTCGACCATTATTGCCAGTGAACCCAGCATTACAATGGCATGCATAGGTTGTCTGAAGATTGATGCATGTTGCATTGGGATGGCAGTCATGACCCTGTGCACAGTAATCAACGCCAGGGCAGAATTTGCAGCACTGCCCTGGAACTGAAAACTGCTGATCATCAGGACAATGAAGGGTCGGACAAGTTTCTTCAGGGTCAACCCGTCGACATTGCATCTTGCCATCTCGACATTCACAATCTACACATTGCCGTGGCGACACAGTCTCCCCATGGTCATATACTACACCCTTCAGTGAACATTGTTCTGAAGAAAGAAAAAATTATTTAGAAACATTTTATAATATTATCCTATACTGTAATTATATTTTACACCAAATATGAATGACAAGAGGAAGGTATGAGAAGAAAATAATGCAAACTACTTACTTAGGCATACGGGGCAACACTCTCCCTCAGTGTACACGGGGTTCTTGCATGTCTTGGCTGGGCATGGGATTGGTCGACAAGTTACCTCACCATGCTGTACGGGTTAGTTGCAGAGGCATAAAGGAAGCAATTTTAGAATGCTTAGTTTGAAAAGGAGTTTCTTAGAAACATGAAATGCTAAGAGTTAAAATAATGTAAAGAGAGATAGTAATGTTCTCAAAAGTTACAGATGGTGTGGATGTGACTTACTTCAGCAGAACAAAATAAAAAGATAAAAAAGAAATGAGACGAATACTAACTACCGTAAGTAATTTGGTAAATAATAAATACGGAGTTTATATGGGTAATGCAAAGGAAGGCGCACCTATCTGTACCAAAGAAAAGAAGAAACACAAACATTGTAATACAGTACTAAACTTACAAGATGTTGACAGCAGTGATTCTCAATGGTTGTATAAAAACAGTTGTAACAAAGTATTACTGGTATGTATGGTGGACATTCCCTCATATACCAAAAATAAAGAATGCATTATAAGATTTGCAAGAGATAACTACAATATAAGAATTGTGTTCACTTGGCAAAGGAGAGAGTAAAAATTTAACTATAATATGCACAGGGCTCTACAAAATGAATGATAACAAGCACAGCAACAATTACCGTACGGTGGCATTGTACAAGTTTGTGATAGTGGAGTTTGACATAAGACAAATAAAACAGGTTGGTGGAGTGTGCTACTTCTACTGTATAGTATTTCCACGCTAACCTGGCCCATAAGCCACGCCCCTCTTCTATACTAATAGTCAATTGGTTCATAGAAAATTCCAACTAAACGTGTTCACATTTATTGGTAAGCAGACCTGTTATCATCTAAAATAATGTTAAATATCTGGACTATCAAAATACAAATGATTTCAAGGCATTAGCACTTCAGAGATGAGGATAGAAAATTTTAAACATTTATCATAAAAAGTCGATATAAATACGCGGTGATACACGTGCAGTCGTGGGACGGGGGGGGGGGTAAAACAGGGGAACCAGTCAGCTATTTGAGATTAGGGGCAGTGCTTATGGGCCAAGTTAGCGTGGAAAGAATGCAAGCCTTTGTTTTAAATAACCATCTGATGATTTTATTGTCTATCTTCGGTTAAGGTGTCTTACTGTTTAACAGTGTTTGTATACCCTCACTGTCTAGGTACATATGAGAGAGAGAGAGAGAGAGAGAGAGAGGTGTTGGTGATGGAGGACGAAACAATGAGATAAGGACATAATTCAAAATCAAATATGGCGAAAAAAAAGGAAAATAAGAAACAATACAAAAACTGAAGAAATTAGGAATACAGTACAGTACAGTAAACAAATCTTTAAAACAAGGAATAATTTACACTTACATTACAAAGTTAAGAAAAGGAAAAAAAAGGTTACCTCAACATAAATTTCAAAATCTGTATGGGAAAATAGATACAGAAGATAGATTGAAAATAAGTAAAAGGATGGAAAGAATAACAGGAAGATTTACTAAGAGAGTGATAGGTGGAGGTAAAAATGACTATTATGGCATGATAAGATATAAAACAGGTGGAAGGTGAGGGTGTGTGTGTAGTGGGTGAGAATACGAAACATCAGGGGAAAAAAATTGGAGAGGCTCAAGTGTTGAAGGGTGTCTAGTGATTGATAAACATACGCTCTCATGCAGCAAGAGTGGCGACTTAGGATTGGGTGGATGCAACAACAGTGTAAAGGGAAAGTGAAATGAATGAATGAAATAATAACCTAAAGTGAGCATTTGTTTATAAAGAATAGGAGAACAGTAGAGCAGTGTACACTATTGACCAGGAAGCATTAATGGAACCAACATACAGAGTCTAAATAAAAAATTTTCAGCATAGTAATGTTAACTATACAAAATAAGGAAAATGGTAAGTACAGTACTATATACAAAGAAAAGATGTGTGTTTGACAGTATTTTAGTATCCACTCAAGGCTCACTGAAGAATTTATAACAAATTAAAATTTTCCATCAAAATCAATAGTAGATTGAACGACTGGTTTGATGTTCAAGTTCGAGAAAGATAGAGTCATCGTACTGTACAGTATATCATAGTTGTTAATTTAGCAAATGCAGTGATGGCGGTGACAATGCATGTTACAGTTAGAACAGAAAGTTACATATTACACCTACAATATGATGGGAAGGATTATGCAATAGCAAACTACTGTACTGTACACTCTCACCAACAACTTCTCCAACGCTATAAGCACTATGCAATCTGAAAAATGAACGAAGAATCTGAAACCATTCCGAGATGACAAGACCCAGTCTGCTCATTCTCACATCCATCGTGCCCAGGTGTTCTAGAAGTTTTTGTTGAGAGTGTACATCCACATGTAAAAACAGTGGAAACAGCAAAAGTTAAGAGATGAACGGTAAAGAATATATATTACTGGTACTGTATATGGAAATAGGAAATAGCGTTATATTGAAAGACAGAAGGCGACTTGTGTTTTAAGTAAATTAAAATAGAAATTAAAACAGGTTTCTCCTAGCAGTCAAATTGTTGCTTATTTTCATATACCTGTAATCAATAGACTTAACTCATTTTACCTCATGATTTATATACAGTAAACATAAATCAATACAAGAAACAATATACCTAGATTTTGCCAAGGCTTTCCACAGTGTACCCCACGAAAGGCTGAAAATCAAACTGGAAGGGTACAGAATTCGGGGAAATGTCCTAGCGTGGATAGAAGACTTTCTACATGACCGCAAGCAGTGTGTGGTGATTAATGGCACGAAATCATCACCCGTACCTGTCACAAGCGGGGTACCACAGGGCAGTGTACTGGGCCCGCTGTTGTTTGTTTGTTTCATAAATGACATGCTTGACGTTGTACACTCCTCCATACAAATGTTTGCCGATGACGCCAAGTTATTTCAGGAAATCAAGAACCAAGCGGACTGTGAAGAGCTGCAGAAGGATCTCTGTGAACTCCAAGAATGGTCAAGAAATGACTGCTGAGATTCAATGTCACGAAGTGTAAGAGTATGAACCTGGGGCGTACCAACGGTAAGGAGGCGTATCATATGTCCCAACGGGATGAAGAAACTTCACTATTTGAGACTGAATGTGAGAAGGACCTAGGTGTGTATGTTGACAATGAGCTGAAGTTCTCGGGCCATTGCGAGAAGAAGGTAAATCAGGCAAATAAATTATTGGGTCTTATAAGAAGGTCGTTCAGATATCTAGACGGTCTGACCCTCGTAACGATCTTCAAGAGTGAAGTGCTTCCCCATCTGGAGTACTGTCACCCCGTCTGGTCCCCGAGATATGCTAGGGACTGTCAGTTGGTTGAAAATGTTTAAAGGAGGGCCACCAGACTGGTGCCTGCACTTCAGCACCTCAACTACCCTGAGAGATTGGAGCGCCTGAACTTGCCTAACTTATACTACAGACGGGCAAGGGGCGACCTAATTGAGGTGTAAAAGCATTTCAAGGGGCACTACTCAGTTGAGTGTCCTTACTTGGAGCTGGCGGACGCTCGCCCCACACGGGGTCAGCTCAAGATTGAAGAAGCCGCAGGTCCAGAAAACTGTGAGGGAAAACTTTTTCACAGTGAGAGTTGTGTAACTCTTGGAACAATCTTCCGGAAAGTGTTGTATCGGCACCGAGTGTGAGCTCTTTCAAGACCAGACTTGATCAACACTGGAGCAGGTTCAGGTACATTCAAGAGCCGGTGCATGCCCAGTACTTGCCAACGGAGTAACAGAGACGTGACAGATCGCCCAAGCGGCTAACGAGCAGATCATTTGGTGAAGAGGATAAAAGAAAAAGAAATGTAACAGAGACGTGACTGATCGCCCAAGCAGCTAACCAGCCGATCAGTGGTGAAGAGGATAAAATAAAAGAAAAGAAAAGAAAAGAAAAGAAGAGTACAGTATACTTCAATCACGGTAATGGTGGCTAATGTAAATTGTAAATGAGGTTGAACGAGAGAGGAGAAACAATTTAACTGTGGCATATTAAAAAGACAAACAGTGGCTGGTTCTTGGGTTTTGAATGCTACAGTGTATGATGCACCAATATCACAAACACAGAAATATTCCTGGTGGAGGTTGTGTAATGTAATAATAATAATAATAATAATAAATCCTCAATATACAGGTAATTACAATATATAAAATAATACTGAAACAATTATTTACTGAAAACCAAAGTGGTATATAAAGCTTTATTTTTTTTGGGGAGTATAACAGCAAAATTCATTGAGATTACCCATGATACAGTTAAGAAATAGAAAAAGGAATAGAGGGGTACATGATAAAACACAATGTAATGAGTAAACAAATGATAATAGGCTGTAGGCAGGAGAAGGCAAGATCAATGTAGAGGAATGTCTTGAATGGAGTTTACAAATTTAGGGAAGAATGAAATGTGTTTGAAATCCAAGGTTATTTTGGTCTGTGTAGTGAAGTAAGTTCTGTAGCCTGAGTGTATTCTTTACAATTCTACTTCATAAAGAATAATAACCTTTTACACCTCTTCTTCTGTACATAGCTCGTTCGTTAATGTCCTTTACTGTAATATCACACACACATTCATAATACATACAGTACATAATTTTTTATATTCCTACAAGACTTCTACTAATACAGGTATGCTGCATGGTTGCCGGAAGTGAGCAATGATAAGACATTCCTGTCACTCACGGTAACTTATATCACATCCTCACTGGACACCAAGTTCTCTTATCAATGATGTGCTCTACAACTTCCTGCATGTCCTCCCTCCCATCCCCTTCTTGGCCTTCCCTTCTCCGTCCAACTATCCATCTCTTAATTAATGTATTTTCTAGTTTGACAATTCTTTCACTTCCCATTCCCTCATTATGTTCATACCTTCTCAGTGTACAGTATGTATGTATAGATATGCATTTATGTATACGTTATACCGTTTGTATGAATACTTTACCTATGAGAATTGAGATATTATAGCTAACATACTCGCATTCATTGAGTGAGTTAACAGTTTTGTAGGGTGTTGGAAATAAACTGTAGTGTTTTCTTGATTGCTGGTTAATGAAAAGGCAAATGACAAGTCTACAAAAAGCATGGAATTACAAGGCTGGTCACTACTCATGGATGGGTAAGGTTTCTTTGTTACTGTAATGCAATGTTGTATAAAAATTCCCTTCATACATAACTTAAAAAAAGACCTTAGTACTGTATTATATCTACCTGATTCTTGCCCTCGGTTACTTATTTAATTCAAGGAACAATATGTGAAAAATATATCGACTAACTTCAAAAGCACCATACAGGGTAGTACTGTAGATGTAGTCACCACTTACCACACAAGAGCAGATTTCGCAGCCACTCTTCCATGTAGCACCATCCTGTCTAACAGTACCATTCACCCTACACGATCTCTGACAGTCACATTCCTCTACAGCAGCCAGCCGTGCTTCTGATGCAGTCAGCTGGGAAACATGTAACATGAATCTTTAGTATTATTTCCTATGCTTGAGGTATTTATTACTAACTGGCATCACCACTTGGAAGCATATAAAATATTCATTATATTAAATAGCGTATTACTGTATTTAAATTAACGTCCACTTTTTACGATAGTTAACATTATTGCATTAGTGATGTACTGCATTAGATAGTGTCTTAAACATACTAGTATTATACTGTACTTTACAGTACTGTCAATTTTCATATAAGTCTTCATTCCAATATTCACTTTAATTATCATTAAATTAGATTCTCACCCGAGTTGCCAACTGTGTAACAAGCTGCTGTAGCTGGTCAACTTGGTCAGACAGGGCCTGAAACTGTCCGCAGGTTGGACATTCAGCATCTGCTTGAGGACACTGCAACAGGTAACCTGCTGCCCCAGACACTAAACGCACATCCTGTAGTGCTCCCTACAAGAAAAAAAAATATTAATATGAAATTTGTCTGACTACAGCACTGTACATTGAATAAACACATAACATTTTTCACATTTTCCCACTAATTTGATATTCACAAGTTAATACTTGATGATTACTCACCTTGAACAAAAAATGCTTGGCATTACGTTGCCCCAAATAGAGCGCCATGGGAGCATCACGAAAGGTGGGATCTTGACTGAGTGTGGGATCTGCAGGATCAATAGGTGGGGCCAGGGAAGCCAAGGCCGTCAGGTTGGTCATAGGGGGTGGGGCTAAACGGCGATACACGCGAGAACAATCTACCCATACCTCTACCTCGGTACCGCTCACCACCACTGATACCTGTCAATGTAAACAAAAGGAACATCAAATATCTACAAGTTAAATTTTCACAACTAAGATAACATCACATTTAAAAATATGAATAAATTGCTACTCGTATCTGTTTCTAAAAAACAGCTATAGCTCGTACACATGATGGATAGCTCTTTCTCGTCCCAATCACTGAGTGTCTGAGGGGTACCATGCTAATGATAGCTAAATACTGGAATCACTGATAAAGTAAAGTAAATCACATAGAAAAAGAGAACAATAGGAAAGTAGTCCATCCATTCATCCCCCATCTTCACCCTCAAAATAGCGAGATTAGAAGCCAAGATTACCCTCTTGAGGCAATAGGTATATCTTTAATAAGTTAAAGAACAACACAGTATCGTTCTTCAGTTTTCAAATTAAATATAGTAAACCCGAGGAAGAAGGGAGGTCATCTGAGCTGTTTGGCTACAGATTCATTTAACTTATTGTCCTTTACTGGTCAGCTCTTGTTACTGAAAGCCAGGTAAATATACTACACCTTAGGAAAGTTAACTAAAATGAAATGGGGGGGGGGGGGGTAGAGAAACAATGGAGTCCGTTTCACTAATATACCGCACAGTCCTATACAATTTATCAAGTATTTTCCTAAACCTCTGTTAATAGAAAACGTTCTCAATTCCAGACCCTTTAAAACCATTGACATCACATAGTTTCTCAGAGATAAGTTGTCTCCAAGATCATGTGAACTAATACTGTACCTTGCAGGTCAATATACAAGATGTGGAATCATAGGGGAAAGATCATTCATACTAATCTCCAAAAAGGGGCCCTGACTGGTGTCCACAGACTAGGAAGCAAAAGTGCCACCATGGAACAATCATATCAATTCCACAATCAAGAACCCCTAGGTGATCCATCATCAACTTTTAGGCCTAACTTCTAGTCACTAACAGACTGAGACAACAAAGCCCTAAATAAATCTAACAAAGTCTATACAAGTGAGGAAGAAAAGAACAACCCAAACACCTTCAGATTAATGTGGAGAAGGCGAGCAAAAGAAAACCTTTCCTCTTCCTGTCAGGTCCATCATATTATGGACACACACACAACCAAGGTCTGATGCATCCACCTGGCAAAAACTATTTCTACTTCCTTCATCATTTCAAGGCACATTAAGAGTGTAGTGAAGGTGGGTAAGGAACCATAACGTCCTTGTACAGTGTATCTAGACCTCAAGAACTGGACGTTTTAATAGCACCAGCGTCAAGGAAAGGCATCCCACCGCCACTGGACTATATAACAACCGTCCCTCAGAGGAATGAAGAGAGTTCATCATACAAAAAAAAAAAAAAAAAAATTCCCAGAGGGCAGACCTACATACCGTACTCTTCTCTTGACTTCTACTAAATTAATTTAACCAGACTCTTGACAATGAGACAACTGTTTCATGAAAAATGTGCCCAAGACCAAATACTGTACAGTAATCTTACATCGTTATTCAGAATAATATTTCCATGCATTAAACACGAGTGTATACATAATCCTATAAGTGCATCACATATTCTTTCATTCCAAGCTCCTAAAAAACTGTATTTAATTCTGGGAAAGATTTGCATTTCCTAAATAGTTTAAAACATTCATAACATTACTCCTTCTAACATGTAAAGTTGATGCTCTCGCATCTTTAAACAGTTTCTTGTGACCAGGAACTAAATACAATGGAATACAACCACCCACCTTGTGCCAGCGTTGATCTGCAATGCGATAAGGAAAGGTTTCAACATGAACAGCACCATTGTGTATGTAATGTAAGCGAATCTCGTCCTTTCTGCCGGACGACTGTAACTCCAGATACCGTTGGTTGCCACGGGAGAAGGCTAGGATGGTGCCTGCATTTCGATCTTCCTGTTGCAGTGTTGCCATGACTGTAAATTCTCGTGAGCCACTGAGTAATGCTGCTGCTCCTGCCTGGACTGCTTCAGACACCTTCACTTCCCGAACTTCACCTGAACAAACCAACAAGATATATTTACGAATTTTATTTCCCTTCAAGTGTACGGGATCAAGGGGCGGATCTAGGAATGTGAAAAAGGGGAGTCCAAGAAGTTGTGGGTGAGAAAACATGGCAAGCACAGCGAGCCCACCCAACTGGGGGGGGGGGGGGGCTATTAGCCCCCCACAGATTTTTTTTTAAATCTAACCATTATCATGGACCTTTTGAGACCATTTTGAGGCCATGTGCACTTGATGAGATATTCTGAAGTCAATAGTATTTACTTTTTACTATACAAAAACACCTGAGTACAATACTGAATTAAAG